ATGTAACATTGTCTCAGAGTATTGATTTCTGCTGGACTTGGAGTCTTCCTCTTCCTCTCTAATTAATTTTGGTTAGTTACATATTTTAATGCAACATTGAGATTTAAAATTTTGCAAGTGTCTATACTTTCAAAAACATTGGTCCCACATATAGCGCGCTGCATTGTTTAGTCTATTGGATGAAAAACAGGAAGGAGACAATTCTGAGTTTAAGCATCTTATTATTATTTGAAATTATTTCCTTCAAATTTAGTGTAATTGTTTATTTGAATAATGCATGATTTTCAAGAATTGGATGTATTCACTCACTAATACAAGTGAACAATTTCTTTGTCGCGTTTATTATAAAGAATTGGACGTATTTCATTTCCAACACCAATGGCCTTCCATCTTTTCGTAGGTGAGAGAGGCTACAGTCAGCTTTAATTGAGAAAGCATTTAATTATGTCTTTTATCAAGGAATTACGACTTTAATAACTAATATGATGCATTTAATCGTTCATATTGTGAGTAAATACTAATATGCATTTACCAAGGAACCACCCTTCAATTAATTACATCAAATTACTACTATTATGCATTTAATGAGGAACCTGATAACCTAAACTTGTATACAGACTTGTACTACTACCAGCAAAGCTAAGACCTATACATATCATAAAGTCTTGTACTACAGACTCCCATGAGTCTACCTAATATTTCTCTACAAACTGGTGGTGGGTCCTCCAGTATGTGAACATTCCAATCATCAAAAGTTTTAGAATAGGCTGCAATCCAATCAGCCAACATGTTACCTTCCCGAACGGTATGGGACACCACCGTATGCCAGTCTTCATCCAAGAATTGTCTGATCTTCGAAAACTATACGGGGGTGTTTGGTAGGTGGTTTCTGGTGGGATGGCTAGGTAAGTGAGAGGGGGATATCATGTAAACCATGTTTGGTAGACGGTTAATAGAAATAAAACCAGGGAAGCGTTTTACCTATGCAAATAAGAGTTGGGTGTAAATGGATGTCAAAAACACTGTTTGCAAAAACCACTTCGGAGGTGGTATTTGGGAAAGAATGGGGAAGTGAAAAATTTGGGGCGATGTTATAGACTAAAATTCCCCTCATCTCATCTATCAAGCTCGATCTGTATTTTGCTCAACTACTCCACAAGATCGACTCTCGTTCTCTACAGATCTGTATTTGGTTTCTCTTTTGCTGTTTTGTCTGCGTTGTTTCTCACTAACCATGTCCATGATGACATCAAAGCCTCTCTTTTGACCTCTACACTTTATGGTTTTGCAACTCGTAAAAGTTTGGCCCGTATGTAATTATCTCTGGTCCCCTGCAACTTATTGGCTACAAAGCTTACGAAGAGTTGTGTTGGCATCTTAGTTGCATCTATTACAAAGAACAGAACTCATTTTAGTCGAGGAACATCTAACCCCAAGATTGAATGACTCATATTTTATTCGAGGACTCGAGGGTTATTTTTTTTTCAGATTCAAAATTTAAAATGCCCATTTTGGTAATCTACAACAATTATCCCATCAATATATTATTTTTAACCAAACATAGGCTTTGGAAACTTACAACAATTATTTCATTAATATTTCAGTCTACCAAACAACTTTTTTTTAACTTTCCTACCAAACTCACTTTACCAACTCACTTTACCACTCTATTACTAGAAAAAGGATTTCCTTAGTAATTTTTTTTTTCTCCTTTACCAAATGCCCCCTAGGAGCCATAGAACGATGGTCTTGGAAATCATTCTTGATGAGGTTGACTGGGGAGTGGATTCTCTTATGTGAAAAAGTGGTCATGTTATTTGATCACAATCATACATTTAAAATTATATATTTTCTCCCTCTTATCTCATTATCAATGAATGGTTGTGATCAAATAACATACCGCATGAACACTTTTTCACGTGAAAGGATTTACTCTCGGTTGACTGCCACTAGAGAGTCCCCCTAGATCCACACACGCCTAAAACCTGCATTCCAAGTCAACTCTATCCCTTCCAAAAATTCTCAGAGTTTTGCTGTCATCGAATTACCATACCCAAGATTACAACAGAACCCCATAATCCATTGCCATGCAACATTCCTCAAGACTCCGTTGCCCTAGAAATCATTCTTTCCTTATTGTAAGAGCCATCAACATTAATCTTAATCCAATCATCTGGCGGGTTTTCCTATCTAATCAGATTCTCCTTTTTCTGGGGAAGGAGAATCCCGCTAGAACGATATAATTTGTTAGCTGTCATAAGGTTGTTGACCAACCCTCTTGTGTTACGGAAAATTTTGCTTTCTGCTACAGTTAGATGTCTTCGAAGACTAAACTATTCCTGGTCTTGCATATCATCCAGCATGTAACACCGAAAATTAAGCTTCAAGGCACTTCGTTTGAAGAGGCGCTGCTTTGATTGAGATTGCCATTGAGCCATTCATCAAGCTTAAGTGTAACTTCAACTCACTGAATAGAGGGTTATTGCACCTTTTGTGTTACTTAAAAATGGGTGGAGTACTCTTGGTCTAGTGAAGATCCAACTAGATTTTAGGATTTGATTTGACTTGCCAAAAGGATAATAAATTTGAATTTTGAAATTTATAATTCTTAGATTCATGAGAAGGATGGAAAGAGATAAATCTAAAATCAAATTAATCGGATTTAGTACAACTTCAAATATCGGTTAGTATCTTAAAAAAAAAAAATCAAATGACGATAATTCTGTTGGTACATGAGTACTGAACGGATGAGGATGAGAGTATATATTCAATCCTCCCCAATAACATCTTTGAGAATGGTTTAAAATCTTAATCAAAATTATCTTTAAAAAAAAAGTAGGAAGATGACCGAGGCTAATGTTAATAATAAACGTCCTTTTTGTTATTCATCCAATAGACTCAACAAAGTACCATCTCACGTGAACCAATAAGGGTCTTCCATGCCTTCTGAAGGTGCTAGAAGCTGCGCCTTCCACCTATTGGGCCATGTGGCACAATGCAATTTTTTATTTTATTTTTTTAATTTAAATGGGAGGTGTAACATCAAAATAATGTTTGCCGCTCGAAATAATAGCACCTTTCAAAACAACAAAATGATAAAATAGCATTTTCACGGCGCACACATCCGAAAAAATAAATTTACATACAAGCCAAGTTCAGTGTGACTCATTTCAACCTCATTTACATTAACCATACATGTTGTTGAACTGGCATTTTCCCCCCAGTCATATCATGTGGGGTTCGGCCTTCACAATGTGTGGCAACTCTTTTATTGGCTGTTGGATATTTTGATGGATTCGTTTAAGTTCCTACACCAAAATTCGCAAGCCCATTATGAGCGCCGCCCCTAAACTTACAAGTAACATCAATTACTCAATCATGAGTTTTGAGATGATCAAGACATGTCATTCCAACCTCAAGTTAATACTTTATTGCAAGCTTGTTTCACAAGAACCTATTTATTCGTCATAAGGGAAATGATATGTAGCTGTGACCCCAAAAATTCCTCTGCTCAGAAAATTTAACACGTAATTCCAACCATGTAGTCTCACAACCTATTTTGGCAGCAAATATGTCAGAAAAGAGGCGTGGTTTATACCATTTCTCCAGACTCCAGGTATGCGTGCATTTACACGAAATATGTGTGTGCCACAATTAAAAGCAAAATTAAAGATTCTCAATGAAAGCTTGACCTATCCCACTCAAAACATAAACCTTATAAACACAGTATAGTACTGAAAGAGGATATCCCCAGTGATGGCTCACCCAAGAGTTGTTTCTTTCTAGCGGCAAGGAAACCAGTGTTTTTGGAACAAGAAAAAAAGTAAACCAAATAGTACTAACAGCTGCAATATGCAGATGTAAATCCCCAACACGATGCATAAAATGAAAAGCTTCAAAACAACCATCAAATACACTTAAATCATTACAGAACCAGGTGCTAAATGAGTAAAGGAACGAGGGGAAAACGATAAATTAAAAACAAAATAAAATATATAGGCTAAATCTCATCACTTAAATTGATTCATTATCCATAAAAAGAATATACCAAAAGCCATGACAATCAACCAATCATCCCCAGCATCCAAAAAAAGAAAATAAAAATAAAAGAAACATTGATTTGGCTAAAACCACAATAAACCAACGCAGAAATTCCAAAACTTGTCGCCGAAAACAATAAATTAGCATTATAATAACAATCAGCAATAATATCAAACAAATAGGAACAACACTGCTAATTCTGAGTGCTTACAAATCAATCCCTATCTAATTTTCTCCTCTAATTTCCTTGTTCTTTCCCTAAAAAGCTGAAGCCAAAGGTTCGAAATCCACATAATACTAAAACCCATGGCCATAAGCACAACCACAACCCAAGAAACCCAAACCCACAAGGGAACAAGACCACGCGCATTCCCACCAGCATAGAACACAATCATTCTGAACACAAAATAAGGACCAACAAAACCCCTAACCACCGAATACAACGCATAAAACGGCGCTGACAAAGCAACATACACCTTGGCGGCGAGTGGGTCCTCACGCCGGCGAACACCGGCGATGGTCCACACGTTCTGGCACGCGCTGGTTACCTCGGCGAGGACTAGCAGCACCAGCACCGCGAAAGCCCCGTGCGAGACCACGTGACGGCACGTGAGGATCACGAAGAGAGTGGCGAGGTGGTGCGCGATGAAGAGCACGTCGTTGGGGAAGAACACTATGTAGTGAAGCATATCCATGAGGAAGTAAGCGATGCTGTAATCCATGACCACCTTCTGGAAGCTTGTATTGGCGGCGGCGAAACCGCGGTTCGGGTCGCCGAGTATGGCGGCCGCCGCGAGAAACACCGCCGGAGTGCCGTGAAAGAGGGATATCAGGCAGCTTGATAATTCGGGTCGGTTCTTAGGGCTCCAATTGGGGAAAATGATAAAGTAACCGATTAGGTAGATTGTGAGGAACATGAAGAAAAATGGGAACACAACCCAGCTTTCTAAGACTAAGGTCGACATCTCTCTTATCTTGTTTTCCTCGAAAAGCTTAGATAGGTACCTTAAAAAAACAAATGAAGAAAACGGTTTTTTTAGGGAGGAGAGAAAGAGGAATATTCTTGAGTTTTTATTCTGATTCTTTCTCTGGGTGTGTGTTTTTGGAGGATGGAGAGTGAATGATTATGACTTTGAGCTTATCTTTGAGTGATGGAGGTTATATTAAGTTTTGGCTTATTTATGAGAGAGAGAGAGAGTGAATTTGGGGTTTTTGTTTGGGAAAAAGGAGAATAATTTTTGAATGTGGAATTCGAGAATGAACACATTCACGGACACTGAGTGCGTTTTTTGGTGAGAAAAAGTGACGGAGATTCGATGAATTCAGAGTTGAGTGGATTGAGGATTGAAGCTGAGAAAAGGAGGAAGTGTGTACGGATGAACTTTGTTGCTTCTTGGGCTTTTATGGTCCCTGTTAGCGTTTAGAAACTACCGATTTTATTTTTATTTTTTATTTTTTCAGTCATACATAAAAAATATATTATAGTGATATAATAAGAAATTGACTATCAAATAAGAAAAAAGATTAAATGAGGATTGAAATATTTAATAATGTTTCTATAATTATTAATTTTAAGATTTAATTTGATCTGTAATTAAATTTTTTTTATCTATAAAAGTTAAAAAATTTATTAGATTTTTAAATACTTTTTTAATTTAAGTTGTGTGTATTTGAACATCAAAAATAAATTTGACTTTGATTTGAATAGATTTGATTTATTTCTGTTTTAGGTATTTGAACTGATAATTTTTTTTGGAAAAACTACAGGAATTTTTTTTTATCAATTCAAATACCTAAAACATAAATAAATCAAATCTATTCAAATACCTCAAAATTATCAATTTGAATTGATTATTTCATTCTTATTTATTTGTCCATTTACCAATTAAAGTTTAGGTTAAGAAAGTAAAATACTTAAGAGTTAAAACGTAATAAATGTTTCTACCAAAAAAATAATAATAAAATTTTCTACCAAAAAAAAAGGTAATAAAATTTTCTACCAAAAAAAAAAAGCGTTATCCATTTTGTTAATTTGACGTGATTCAAATTAAAAACAATATATAAAAATCAATTTAATTATATATATTTTTTAAAAATAAGTTCCAAACATATTTCTAAATTAATTCATCAAATCAATTATAATTTTAGTGATTTTAACATACCTTTAGTACTTATTAGTTTTAATAATTAATTTTTTTTATAAAAGTTATTAAATCCAGTGTTTAAAACCCCCTGGGTCGACCCCGCTTGGTCACTAAATCCCTCTCTCTCTCTCTGAGGGTTGAGGTCAGTCCGTTAGACCTTGCATGCACGTTGATCCCTTTGACCCTCGAAACTCCCTGATTGAACTCGTGACTCCTGGGTCAGAGGGGGTCACTGCATTTTTTTTTTTAAATTTATATACGAAAAGACATTGTTTGGTGTATAAAAAAAATAAAGTTGTTAGCTAGATCTAGTACTAGATTTGAAATCTGAATTGTTCTTCTTCTTCTCTTCTGTTCTTCTCTCCCAGACTCAGACCCAGTTTCCTAATCCGGTTATCTCCTCCGTCGTGGTGGGGAATCCTCTTCGGTCTTCTCTCTCCCTCTCCTCTGCTGTTCTGGTTATTCTCTCCCCACCTTTGATTCGTCACACTGCCGCCTCTCCTCCTCTGTCGTTCTCTCTTGAGTAAGGGATCTCCTTTCACAAGCTATTATAGGTGCGTGAGAAGGACAAGGAGGGCCTGAATTTGATGATATAGCTTTTCATTAACTCTATTAGAATAGAATCTAGATCCTCCTCTAATGTAAAAATTCACATGACCATGTCATGTGGGGAATCATAACCATACAAAGGTAGGAGGAGAGAAAAAAATGTTAAAGTAGGTAGTTACGAAATTATAACCGTTGATTTATCTTTGTATGATTGTGATATTCCTACACGACCATATTATGTTTTTTTTCCACATGAGATGATTCATTTCCATTAGAATATGTATTTTATACTTTGACTAACTTGTATAATATTGACTTATGGATATAATTGATTGAATTATGTTTGGGAAATATTACTCTCCTTTCACATAAGACAACTTCTCTCATTTTCTTCCACTTCGATTTTTGCACCCCACCTTTTTTTTTTCTTGTAATGGTGGGACCCACCCATTTTCTCTCTACAACATAAGATAATTATCTTATGTAAAAGAAGATTAATGATTATTTGTGGTTTGATTTTTTCATATAAGAAATGTATTTATATTTTTTTAATGGGTTTTATAAGAGTTATGTTGTAGGAAAAATGATTGTGTTATGTTATAGAGATTCGTTTGGCGTGCCGAAGTTTTTTTTTTTTTTTTTTTTGGTTTCAAAAATTGCGAGTCCCACAAAATGTTGTGTGTGTAGGAAAGTTGTTGTGCTCGTGTTAAATGATAGATACAAAATCTTTTTAATTATATAAAATTGGATCAACAAAGTGATCTTATGACTCCCCATTAACCCATGATCTTTAACCTCGATTACCGAGCCGAAATTTTAAACTTGATTAAATCTTCTTTAATCTTTAACAAGGTTAATAAAATAAATAACATATCTTTTCAAGGTAAAAAAATTTATTTATTGAAATTTAATTAAATAATTACGCAAATATCACAGTTTGGGAAATATTTACGCATCTATTGTACATTGTGACGCCCCACTGGGGCGTCTCTCATGAAGGAGAAGACGCCCACATAGGTCGTCTCTCATGAGTTGGTGACACGTGTCACTTGTTTTTTCAAAAAAAAAATTAATTTAATCATAAGACTTCTAAATGCCATAACTTTTGACTCGAGTATCCAAATCAGGTAATTCTTTTTTTGATTCCACATAACTTTTCGAGATCTACGCAATGACATCTCATTTGACATATTTTATTTCTCACAAACACAATTTTAATTTGCAAGAATGATATTATAAGAGCGGTTAAACCCAGAAGCCTCTGAGTTCTGAATTTGTGATTTAATATAAAAAAAAAAATAAAAATTTTGATTTGTGATTTAATTTTTTTTTATAATAATTTTCTTTATTATAACAAAATTTTGGTTTGTGATTTAAATTCAAAATAAAAAAAATTGTTATTAATAAGGAAAATAAAATAAAAATTTGATTTGTGATTTAAACTAAAAAATCAATTTGAAAAATCTGTAGAAATAAAGAAAATAATTAAATAAATATTCTAAATTTCTAAGGAAGAAGATGCCCAAAAGGGGCGTCACAGTGTGCAATAGATACATAAATATTCCCTAAACTGTCATATTTACATAATTATTTAATTAAATTACAATAAAATTTTTTTTTTGCCATATTTTCAAGTAACTAAAGGAAAATATAAAGAAAATGTAGTCATTTCTTGCGGCGGTAACTAAAGATGGGAATGAGTTACGTGACTTGTGTGTGGTATATGAGCTGGCGTTAGGCTTTATTATTATATTAATTTTTATATCATGCCCTGAAGTTATATATTTATTGACATATTTAAAGGTTAAGAGATATTAGTAGAGGTGGCAAAGGGGGCGGCCCACCCTGTCATGTCTCACCCCACCATCAACTCGTCAAAAAATCAGTCAGTTTGCTCGGGCCCGCCTCGCTTTTGAAAGTGGGCTCAAAAACTCAGCTCGACCCGCCCCGTTTGGCAGGTTGCCCCGCCAGCCCGAGCCTATTTTATACTGATCCGCCTCGGCCTGCCTATGCCCGCCATCAACTAGCCAAAAAATGAGCCCGCCCCGCCCGGCCCCGCTTTTGAGATGAGTTGAAAAACTCAGCCCGCCCCGCCACGTTTAGCGAGTTGGGCGGGTTGGCCCGCCGAGCCGAGTTTGTTTTGTCGGCTCTAGATATTAGGATCACTTTTGTCAAACCTGCGCCGACTTGGTTGGGTTAACTCGAATCTCATGAATAGGTTCAGGTCAAGTATTAGACTGGTTATGTATTGGATCAAGTCAAACTCGACTAAATTCGGACAAAATTGACTAAATTCGGTCAAAATTGGTGACTCGATCGGATCATCTATTTTTATAAAAAAAATTATTCCATTTTATCATAAAAAAATGTGAAACTCATTTTAAATTTTTTTTATAATTTTATTTGCTAGTATACTCTTATACAATGAATTCAAATTTCAGCTTTCAATATTGAAGCAATTTGTTAAACAATAAATTAAGAGAATATGACATATGTCATTTGAATGTAGATGAATTTGAAAAATATGAGTTCAATGTCATTAAGAGGTATGCTTATCGAGATTCTGAGTTGCAATTTAAATTGACATAATAATAGCGTACATTTTCATTTACTTATGCTTCATGAACTTGTAAAAGAGTGATTGGATAATTTTTGAACTTATTTAGTGAATTTTGTTTAACTCATTTTAAATATAGAGAATAGAATTAAATTTATATGTTCATATTTATATATATTTTTATATATTTATATATATCCGGATCAACTAGTCTGACTAACGACTTAGTACCTTGATCGGATCAATGCCCGAGTCAGGTTTAATAACAATGATTAGGATTGGTCTAATGACAAAAAAATTTGAGTTATTTATATCAGATTATGTGTTTAATTTTGATTAGTGTATAAAAAAAAAAGAGAGGCTGAAGACTACTGGTCTATATAAAGAATCAGGCCCATCAGCTTATTTATTAGAAGGAGGCGTGTTAGCGTATTTAAAAGCTTTATTACAAAGTAGTTTCTTAAATAAAAATTTAAGTCAAGTTCTTCTAAAATATTTTGGTCATGTTTTTAAAAAGGGGTTCTATATTGAGTAAATTGGCCAGATTCAAGTTTTAAAAGTAAAATAAGGGAAATAATTTACAAGAAAAAAATTATATCATGTAGAAATAAAATTACAGATGAGATTCACAGGTAAGAGAAGAGAGAAAAATATAGATGAGACTCACTCTTCTTTTATATGTGTAAAAAATTTATTTTTCTTATATAAATAAAAGAAAGATAATTAGGGTTGGGTAACTCAAAAAAAAAAAGATAACCTTAAAATAAATTTAATTTATTTAAGTTAGGACGTGACCTGACGTGACTCATTTTCACTCTAATAATTATTTAATATTTATTTGTTTCTTTATGTTATTTGTTGTTAATAATGATATTCGAAATGGGATTTGCAGGCTCAGAATCAATGATTCCTATCATAATGGGATGTGATTTGTAGAATCATTTATTCCTTCATGTAGTGTAAGACACACACAATAGCATCTCTGATCATTGAAATATGCAAAAACATAACAAAAGACGTGAAAAATATTCATAGAGGTCATAAAATGCTATTCTAAACCTAGACACATCTTAATTGACCCTGAATTGAATAAGTCTTGGCATGCTTTATATAAATTGAGGATTTTAATATTTCTTTTTG